CATATATGAATTGATCAACAAGGGGGTTCCAATTTTTCTAGATTCGATTTCCAAATTTGGTAAAATACTTGACTGTATTGTTGATGTGATTGAATTTTTTTTTTTATTTTTTTTACAAGATGAGAAAATGCAAATGTTGTTGCATGGTATGGTTTGCTCTTAAAGAAGACAAAGTGTTGTTTATTGATTGCATGAGATACACAATTTTCTATTGCATGGTATTTGACTTTTTTCTTATTGTTTTATAAATATTGTTAATATGCATCTCTTAACTTGTATAAATATTATTGCAAAAACAAACTATGGGAACAGAACCTGTATTTACAAGATTCTTTATGATAAATGATTGGTATTGTCTTTGCTTTTTGTAATCAACATTGATAATGTTAATATTAAATATAAGATGTCAAGGCTATTGTTGCAGAAGAAACAGTTCATTTCAATAGTGTAATATTTGATTATTGTAAATTTTACAGATGCCAAGGCACACATGTTACCTTAACACCTTACAGTCATTCTCACATGTTCCTTGTGTTCACAAGGCTAATCTGATCATGGCTCTCCAATGATACAATGAATGCAACTAAATTTTTAGGGGGGGTGTATGGCTCTGGAATTTATTGAGATTGCATCAATGTCAAGGACTCTTTTGCAAAACCTACCTAATCTTTCTCACAGAACTTGACCAGAGAAAGCTACAGATATGCTGGCTAAATTTGACTGCAATGATCCTACATCAGGGTAAAGATGGTTGGCTGTGCAACTATAGATGTTGCAGTCTGGGTTGAAAAGTTGTGATTTTAGGTGTACATCAACATCTAGATTCATCAAGGCAATGAGAATCTGCAGAAACTCAAGCTCAGGCAGGATTTTGAAATTCAGAGTGGGATTGGGGACGTTACTGTGTAGTTATCTGCAAAAAATATCCACAATTTTGCAGATCCCCACAAAATTTCCCATGAGAATATTCAATCCGTGGTTATTATTATTATAATAAATATTAATATTAAATATTTAAATACGGAAATGCAGTTGTTGCCCAACATAAAAAGGAAATTGTGGAAATTGACAATAAATATTATTATTATTTATCATTATTCTTTTTATTAAAACCTACTTGTTATTATGTAGTTAGCCACAAATAATTGTGGCTAACTACAATGAATATGGCGAAGGAAATTAACAATAATATTATTTTCTTTTTTTAAACATTTACTTGATGAAGTAAATACCATTAATTTACAAATGGAAATTTAATGGAAATAAATGACCAGTCACATTATTTCTGATTTTTAACAAATTCATTGACCAGTTATCAAATATCAGCAGAATGTATGTTGTTTAAAATCATCAGGTTATTTGTTGTAGAATGCCTAGTTTTAAAGATTAAAATGAATGTAAAAATAAAAAATTTTGAGAATATAAATAAAGCTCAATTTTCTTATCATAAAATTTGGTTTAAAAAATTTTTAATTTTTCATTCACAAGAATGAAGCAAAAAAATTAATTAATTTTCATTTACAAACATGAAGCAAAATTAAATTTCTTTAAAAAATCAATTAATTTTTCATTCACAAAACAAAATAAAATTTCTTTAAAACATCAATTAATCTCTCAATTAAAATGAATTCAAACCAAGCAATTGTTATCTTGGCAGACATTGAAACCTTTTTACAATTTTCTTTCACTAGATTAACTTTAGCAGATTTAGAAAATAATAATTATACAAATGATTATTCTAATGAAATTCTCCCTGAATTACAATTTCTAGGCATCTACCTTTTAACATAAAAATTGACAATGGTTCTTGCTTCTTGCTACCTGAAGAATACAAACACTTATTCTGTGGGAATTCTACTGCAAATGGAAATTGTTTATTCAATTAAGCCTCTATTGTTTTATATGGAGATGAGAGCTATTTTATGCAGTTTAGGCTTGCTGTTATAATTGAACTTATGAAAAATGCAGGAAAATATTTAGAAATTGATGCTTTTGAAACTGATATTAATTATTTGGATGATGCATTAAATTCAGTTGAATCTTTGAAAAAACAGAATTTGAATAATCCTGAGTATCCAAAATATTTTACTTATTTATCTGAATTAAAAAGAATGTGCAGCAACTTCTCTTGGCGCTCATTAATAGCATTGGCCAAAGTTGTTAAACAACCAGTCCATACAATCTACCCAGAAGTCAAATCAAGATTAATTCATGAAATATATAATTGTGAAATTAAACCATTCCAACCATCGTCTGGCAAAATTGCTGTTGTCACTGAGCAACCTTTATTTATTTTTTGGACAAATACATCAATTCAAACAAAAGCACAAGTAAATACAATCTTAATTGAAAATAAATTCATTCCAAATCATTTTGTGCCATGTTTTTTAAAAGATAGAAGGTAAATATATTTAATGATTATTATTTTTGAAATAATTGAAATAAAAAAATAAATAATAATTTCTATTTTTATTATATTTTGCTAATTTTACAGATTGAATCAAGTGAAAATTACTAGACTGATACAAGTGATGGCAGTGATTCAGCATCATTGTCATCAACTTCCAAGCTGGTATCTATAGTTGTAGTTACTGTTTCGTCTTGTTCAATATTATCATGAGTAGAAGTTGATGCATTTTCTTGATTTGCATCCACAAACTCATCCCATGCTTCAAGTTTGTCAAGATCCTTGAGCAACTTGTTGTGCTGTTGCATCCTTCACATTCAAGAGCTTTCCTTGTAGGGTGTGAACTCCCACTTCTTGTTTGTAGCCTCCAAACCAGCTAAGGCAAATGCCCTAGCTGATTCTCCTTCCGTCAGAATTAGTACTGATTCAGCATCTTCTGCTGAAACTAATCCTGGTGTGCTGCAAGTAAATAAATAAATAATGTTAAAATGAATAAAATAAACAAAATTACTGATTAATTAATTGACTAACAAATTTTTGACTGATCCCGATCTCTAAATTAGAACAGCTCTCAAAACAATAAATAATACTTACTCTTAGGCTACTCTTGCTTCTCTCACACTGGTGTGTCATAATTTTGTTTTACAGTTGTTTTTATTAGGCATTTTATAAATTATTATAAAATTTTAAATTATGAAGTGCCCTTATTTTTTTTTTTTTCTTTTTTTAAATGATGTAATCTTGTATTTATTAATTTAAAATTGATTAGAAATATGTAATACATATAAAATTATTTACAATGCACAACTCCCCCGTTTTATCATAGAATGGTATTTGTTTGGAGCGACTTGACGTCATACAAAGTCTCATGAGGCCTCCTTTTTTAATTAGAGAATTAAATTACTGCACCCCATTTCTTTGACTATGTAAAACATCCTGTCAAGATACGTATATTTCCCATTGGCTTCCTTTTTTAATC